GGGCATGGCAGGGAAACCCAGCAGTGGGGGCACGCCTATCGACAGGGCGGACCCCCGGTCAAACTGGAGCGGGGGATCCCCGAGGGGCCCCTGAGAGAAGCTGCGGATGTCATACGTGACCGTCTGGGGTGGGAACCGGACCAGTTGCTGGCCAACTGGTACCGGAAGGGAGTGGGGATAAACCCCCATAAAGACCAGCAAGAACTTGGACCGAGGGTTGCGACTGTTTCGCTACTGAGTGACACGGTCATGGAGTGGGAGAGGGGGACCCAAAGAGTGAGAACCCCGCTGCCAGCCGGCACTCTGTGCCACATGGAGGGCGAGGCCAGGAACCTGTGGACACACGGGATCCGTCCCGGTGATGTCACACACGACAGGGTCTCGCTCACCTACAGAGCTGTGCACGAGGGAAGGGCCCGCTGCTCCTCCCCCACCAGAGGAGAACAAGGTACGCTGGATCCACCCACAATGCCCCCCCCACCCCCCCCACAGTCACTCACCCATCCCCCCCATCAACAGTCCAACCCTACGCATTTATGTAACAGTAAAAGAACAGAAGAATCAGTCAGAGGATCTGCACGAGAGCGGCTGTTAACAGCTGGGGACGTCGAACAGAACCCTGGTCCCGGCCGCACGGAGATGAAGTTCGCGACGCTCAACGTGACCAGCATGCTGCAGTACATAGTAGCGGTTAACGCGGTGGAAGCCGACCTTCTTTGCTGCCAGGAGGTCACACTCCTTCGATGCAAACGGGCACAGGCGGAGGAATACCTACGGAATTGGTGCTGCCACTGGGGTCCGCCACCTCCCGGGAGACTCTGTAGAAGCTCCGGTAGTCGCTCGACGACGAACGCTGCGAACGGGGGACTCTGCACTCTAGTACAGAGGCCGATACCGGCGTACGACACGTTGGCAGCGCTCTCGCACGTGGCGTTACGGTCCCCGGACCGGGTAAGCCATACTGTAGTCGCAACAGGGACCGGCAGCACCTTCGTGCACGTGTTCAATGTCTACTGCCCATCAGGAAACGGGAGGGCGGAGAACGAGGAACGTGAGGACATGCTGGAGAAGGTCCTCTTTGCGGCGGCAGACAGCCTCGGCGACGTCCCCATACTGGTGATGGGAGACCTCAACACGGAAGAAGATCGGTCCCCTGTTCTGCGGAAGGCACTTAGGAACGGATGGTCCGACGCAGCGGAACTGCACCATGCGCGCACCGGGAACACGCCTCCGCCACCGACCTTTACCAGCGCCCGGACGTCAGGCACGAGGATCGACCGCATACTCCTCAACCGCATAGCGGCGTGTGCATTCCGTCAATGCGTCACCACCGCGGTGAACGTACCGGGACACCGGCTCGTGACAGTGACCCTGGATATTGCAGCGCTGCGCCAAAGCGTGTGGCGATTTAAGGTGCCGCGGGAAATCCCGACAGAGGGGGGGTCCAAGTGGGACCTCTCGGAAGCAGAAGCCGACAGGGAAGCCGTACAGAGACTGGCCAACTCCGAATTCGCGGAACGATTGGCGGCGCAGCGGGTGGAAGAGGCCTGGCTCGAGTGGTCACGGGTCAGTGAGCGGTACTTGCAGGATGCATTCGCCGTCCCTGTGGAAGAGAGAGGAAGGGGTACCGGCCGGGGGATGAAGACATTGCCGAGGAGGGTCTGTGTCACGGCGGGCACTGCGACCGACGGGTCGGGGGCAGCGAACAGCAGGCAGCTACGGCTTAGAAAGGCCATCCACCGGATGGAACGCATCTGCAGCTACCTCGCGCAACGTCGCGGGCCGGAAGCTGTTCCACATGAGGTGTCCCTCTGCTGGCAGAACTGCAAGCGGCTGGCACAAGCGTGCATGGTGGGCGACCAAGGCGCAGGGGGGTTTCCGGATCATGAGAAGGCGAAGCAGCTGCTCACAGCGTTGCGGGAAGAGACGAGTAGGCTCGGAAGGGAAGGATCTGCGGCCAGGTTTACGAAGTACCGAGACAAGCTGAACGAGAGGGCGGACGCGAGCAGACGATGTCTAGCGACCGTCTGCGCCGGTCGCGCTGAGCCGTCGGGAATGTTGCGCACCGGAGCGAAGATGACTGCAAATGTGGACGAGATGGACGAGGTGTTGCACACTGCGTGGGACGCTATCCTGCGTAAGTACAAGGACCGGCCAGAGCCGGAGTACGGTCCGTTTCGGGATCGGTTCCAGGAGCACATCGACACACACTTGATGGAACCCGGAACGATCACGGGGGAGGAGCTGCGGACTCTGCTAAGGAAGAAGCCGAAGAGAAGCGCGTCAGGCGTGGATGGCTGGCGCATGGCTGAACTGCGGGAGTTGCCGCTTCCCCTGCTGAATGCGCTAGCGGATGTCATGAACCTGGTCGAAGTGACTGGGGTTTGGCCGGCGAGCATGACAACTGCCCTGGTGTCGATGGTGCCGAAGGATGAGAGCCAAAACCCGCTGCACACGAGGCCAATAACCGTCACGTCCGCTGTGTACCGCCTATGGGCGTGCCGCAGGCTTGCGGACATAGTCCTGTGGCAGGAGAAATGGATCGAAGAAGGACAGAAGGGTTTTCGACCAGGTCACCGTATCGAGGACGTCCTGATGGAGATAGGGCTCGAGATGGAGGACGCCTTGCTAGATGGAGAGCCGCTCTACGGGGTGGCGCTGGACTTCCGGAAATGTTTCGACATGGTCCCGCGAGAGATAGTGCTGCAAGTTTGGGACCCAAGTTTGGGACCCAAGTTTGGGACCCAAGTTTGGGACCCAAGTTTGGGACCCAAGTTTGGGACCCAAGTTTGGGACCCAAGTTTGGGACCCAAGTTTGGGACCCAAGTTTGGGACCCAAGTTTGGGACCCAAGTTTGGGACCCAAGTTTGGGACCCAAGTTTGGGACCCAAGTTTGGGACCCAAGTTTGGGACCCAAGTTTGGGACCCAAGTTTGGGACCCAAGTTTGGGACCCAAGTTTGGGACCCAAGTTTGGGACCCAAGTTTGGGACCCAAGTTTGGGACCCAAGTTTGGGACCCAAGTTTGGGACCCAAGTTTGGGACCCAAGTTTGGGACCCAAGTTTGGGACCCAAGTTTGGGACCCAAGTTTGGGACCCAAGTTTGGGACCCAAGTTTGGGACCCAAGTTTGGGACCCAAGTTTGGGACCCAAGTTTGGGACCCAAGTTTGGGACCCAAGTTTGGGACCCAAGTTTGGGACCCAAGTTTGGGACCCAAGTTTGGGACCCAAGTTTGGGACCCAAGTTTGGGACCCAAGTTTGGGACCCAAGTTTGGGACCCAAGTTTGGGACCCAAGTTTGGGACCCAAGTTTGGGACCCAAGTTTGGGACCCAAGTTTGGGACCCAAGTTTGGGACCCAAGTTTGGGACCCAAGTTTGGGACCCAAGTTTGGGACCCAAGTTTGGGACCCAAGTTTGGGACCCAAGTTTGGGACCCAAGTTTGGGACCCAAGTTTGGGACCCAAGTTTGGGACCGGGACAATTCCCATTATAGTACACTTCCTTATGTTTGTGCCCATTCTCGAACACTATTTAACTTTTTGCCCATTCTCGAACACTCGCTAACTTTTTGCCCATTCTCGAACACTTTTTAACTTTTTGCCCATTCTCGGTAACTTTGTGCCCATTCTCGAACACTATTTAACTTTTTGCCCATTCTCGAACATTCCAGTTTTTGTGGTGAAAATGTCACTTCCCCGAGACATTTGCCTCAAGTTTCACCGCGAGAACAGCTGCGTTCCTGATTCGAGGACGGCACCCTTGCTAACTTCAGGCCGCAGCCTCTTCGGCATCTAAACTCGGGTTCTTGGTTGCTTCAAGCTTCTACACGTGACGGTGGTGTGCGAGCTACCCGGTTTAAAAACCCGGCACAGACTTCACTGAGTTTGCTCGTCTTGCTTGCAAATTGCGCGGCGGCCATTGAGTGACCTTAGTTCACTGACCTACACCAGGAGAAGCAGCTTGCAACTTTGCAGCATAGTGATTCAAAAAAATTGACCGAAATTTTTTGGCTCAAAAATTTTCGGTCAATTTTTGGGTCAAATTTTTTGGGTCAAAAATTTAGGACAAAAATTTTGGGTCAAAAATTTTGGGTCAAAAATTTTGGGTCAAAAATTTAGGACAAATTTTTTGGGTCAAATTTTTTGGTCAAAAATTCGGGGTCCAATTTTTTTGGTCAATTTTTTTTCAGAGTTGAAGTGGCGGTTACACTTGGCACATGGCTGCATGATGGCAGGAGAAATGGCTCCTGCCATGCGCCCTGGCGGCTCGCCGGCAATTCCAGTCTCTCTCTCAGCCTGCCAGCCTGCGGCAGGGAGGACAAGATCCAGTCACCATCCGCCAGCTCCTGATTATTTTCAGACGACTGGCACTTTTTCTTTGCAGCTTCTACTGTAAGAGTAGCATCACTCAAATCTTGATTGGCTGCGGCGTTACTTACCGCTCTGAGTCTCTCCCGCTCCTCCTCTGGAGTCATTCGTGACGTCGCGCCCGTCGCTGGTTACTACTCGTGGTAAAACGTAAAACAGTGGCTCTGATTCTGAAGAGGTTTCGGCACAGAATTAGGAAGCGCTACAAGTAGAACGGGCTGGTCACTCGCGCATACCTGAATTATGCACGAATCTGTGTTTAGAAAACCGTTTACCCGTAGTCTGCGGTGTCAATGCCCAGTGCGCAACCAGGATACCGAGCCGGGACGCAGCAGCCAACCACAATGCTGGCACCTTGTTCGAGGAACGGATCCGACGGAAATCGGAATCGGAAATGGCGAACCCAAAAATGGCTGGGATTTTTTGGATGTTGGGTGGTGAGTTCGAATCCCACCCTGGGCAAATTTCAATGTTCGAGAATGGGCAAAAAGTTAGGCGACTGTTCGAGAATGGGCAAAAAGTTAAAAAGTGTTCGAGAATGGGCAAAAAGTTAGCGAGTGTTCGAGAATGGGCAAAAAGTTAAATTGTGTTCGAGAATGGGAATTAGCCCGTTTGGGACCCCCAAGCTTAAAAATACAGGTGGCCGGGATTGAACCGACGATCTTCCGCGTGTAAGGCGGACGTCCTAACCACTAGACGACACCTGCTTTTTTTGGACCTGAGGGTCGCTGGTTCGATTCCCTGACTGGCCAACTTCTCCAGGCGTTTGGGGATGAACTCCCAGATGCAAGCCCTAGTTCAATAGCCGAGCGGAAACTGGTCCGCGAAAGGATGGCTTCCATACCTAGTATGGTTTCCCAACCATCCCCATCAAGGGGACCTCAAAGGAGTGGAGCAAGGTGCCCTGGTGGCCTGAAAAAAAAAAAAATTGGGCATTTTTTTTTTTTTTTTAAAATGTCGAAAAAAAAAAAAAAAACGCGAAATCGTTGAGAAAAAGCACACACACACCAACACACGCATGGCCGCCCCCGACCCGGGGGGTGGCGGGCCCCCCGCTCCGGCGGGCGGGGCCGGGACGGCTGCTGCCGCCCTCGGAGCGGGAGCAGGGCCGGGTCGCGCGAACCCGGCCGCGACAGGGAGGCCCGAGCGGGCGCCGGACGCCGCTGCGTTCGCCGCGTCGCTCCGGCGAGCCGGACGGACGTTCGCCGACGTGTTGGCCGCTCCGCCCGTTGCCGACGCAGGACCCGCCGCCGCCGATGTACCCGCCGCCGCCGCCGCCGCCGCCGAAGCACCCGCCGCCGCCGCCGCCGCCGCCGCCGCCCCCGCCGCACCCCGCGCGGACCCGGCACCCGTATGCCGGGATTTTAATTTCCGGCGTGCGGGATGCAAACGGAGCTGGTGCAGGTTCGAGCACAGGCTTCTCCCCGTCTGCCCTGCCTTCGTGCAGGGTAGGTGTAGGAACGCCCGGTGCCCGGACCGGCACCAGCGCGCGGGGCAGGTACGTTTTTCCTCGCACCCTCCCAACCCCCCCTATGCGAATCGTTCGTTTCACCCCCCACGCACCACCAATCAACCGACACAGGCACGGAGCATGACTGTCGCGCCGCGGCCTGCACGCTCGAGCCAGGGTGTGCAGGCCACGGCGCGCATGGCTGACGACGAGCTGCCGCCGGGCAGCCTTCGGCCAGCGGTACTGGCCGCACGAGCAGCGGTCCGCAGGGCGCAGGAGGAGGCGGACGCCTTGGAGGAGGATCTCCTGCAGGAGTTCAGGAGCTGGTCCGCCATCCCGGTGGTGGAGCTGTGCCCCCGCTGTGGGGTTTTAAGCGCCACGGCCGGGGAGGCGGCCCAGCACCAGGACTGGCACTGCAGGGACACGGGAATCCGGGGCCGCGACGGGCTAGTCGCGGCCCACGTGGCGGTCGTCAATGAAGGTTACCGCCACATGCAGGACCTGTACCGGCAGGAGCAGGCCGACAGGGAGCGGCTGGAGCAGGCCGAGAGGGAGCAGGCGGGGCCGCAGCCCCTCCAACAGGCGGGGCCGCAGCCCGCCCGGCAGGCGGGGCCGCAGCCCTTCCACCAGGAGGCGCCGCAGCCCCTCCAACAGGCGGGACCGCAACCCGTCCAGCAGGCAGGGCCGCAGCCCTGCCAACGGGGGGGGCCGATGCCCTTCCACCAGGAGAGGCCGCAGCCCCTCCAGCAGGCGGGGCCGCAGCCCTTCCAACAGGCAGGGCCGCAGCCCTTCCTACTGGCGGGGCTGCAGCCCTTCCTGCAAGGGGGACCGCAACCCTTCCAGCAGGCAGGGCCGCAGCCCTACCAGCAGGCAGGGCCGCAGCCTTTCCAGCAGGCGGGGCCGCAGCCCTTCCAACAGACGGGGCCGCAGCCCTTCCAGCAGGCGGGGCCGCAGCCCTTCCAGCAGGCGGGGCCGCAGCCCTTCCAGCAGGCGGGGCCACAGCCCTTTCAACAGGCGGGGCCGCAGCCCTTCCAGCAGGCGGGGCCACAGCCCTTCCAGCAGGCGGGGCCGCAGCTCTTCCAGCAGGCAGGGCCGCAGCCCTTCCAGCAGGCAGGGCCGCTGCCCTACCAGCAGATGGAGCCGCTCCCCTTCCCGCAAGAGGGGCCGCGGTCGGCACAGGAGCAGGAGGAAGGTGACGCCGGGATGCGAGAGGCGGCCGAGCGCGCCACCCCCGCACCCCGTGACCCGGTGGGGCGCCGCCTCTTCGGAGAGGACGGGGTGTTCTCGGGCTCCACGCCTTCGTCACCCCGAGGGGAGGAGCTGGCCCCAGCGCGACGCCACAGGGCGCAGTCGGTGGGCGGGGAGATCTTCGCCACCCCAAGCGACGAGGGCGACCAGGCTGGCCCAGAGGCAGCCGCCCAGGCGGACCCTAACCCCGCCGCCGTAGGGGGAGAGGACGACCAGGCCAGGCCCCCAGGCGCCGCACCAGCCGACCCCGCGGCAGTCGTCCAGGCCGACCCCGCAGCCGCCGCCCAAGATGACCTCGTCGCCGAGGGCGTCGTTGGAGACCCGGGCGCGCCCCCAGCCGCCGTACAGGACGGGGTCGCGGCCGTCGATCAAGGTCTGGTGGCCGAACGCGCGGGGGACGACCAGGCCGGCCCCGGCGCCGCGAGGGGCGAGGTCGAACTCGCAGCCGCCGGCCAGGCGGACCTCCCCTCCGCGAGCGGCACGGCCGGGCAGGCCGTCACGGACTGGCTCCGGGGGCAGCGGGTCGCGCTCGGCATGGTCTCGAGCGACCTGGAGCCCTTCCCGGACTCAGAGTCCGACTCTAGCTCGGAGTCGGACTCGTCGGGACCCCCCCCCACGGAGTCCGATGACGAGCCGGGGCAAGGGGGCGGAGGACCGGGCGGACCGCGATCCGACCGGGGAGGCAGTGGGGGGCCCGACCCCGGGACGGGAGGAACGGGAGCGAGCGGTGCGCTAGCGGGCCAGCCGGCCGGAGCGCCGGCAGGGACTGGAACCGACCAGCCGGACGCCCGGGATGGAAGCTCGGGGGAAGGGGCCCCACGACCCGAGCAGCCGGGGGCGAGCGCGCCGCAAGCGGGCCAACCGGCCGAGGTGCCGGCGGCGGGGGCAGGAACCGACCGGCCGGACCCCCGGGAGGGCGACTCAGGAGAGGGCGCTCCACAACCTGAACAGCCGGCGGTCGGGGCGCCGCCGGAGGTAGCGCAGGGGCCGAGTGCCAAGCGGCCGGCATCGCGCTCGCCGGTCGGCACGCCGGCCGCCGTACGCCGCAGACAACCGGGCGCCTCCGAGGACCCCTGGGAGACCCCCCCATCCGGGCTCACCTGGGGGTACGTGCCGACGGAGGCCAGCTTTCCGTCGGAGGATGCCGGGGAGGTGGGGGCAAACGTTCTACGGCCCGGGCCCTCAGCAGCCAGTCCGGGCCAGCCCGCGCCGATCCCCCAGCCGGCCTCCCCCGAGCTCGCCGGCGGGGAGCCCGACGCCCCCGCACAGGAGCCACACTCGCCGGTTCCGCACCCCTCCGTCGACGGGGCGAACCAGCGCCTCCTGGATGAGGTCTGCGGGTCCGAGCCGGAGAGACCGACCAAGGGCACCAAGCGCCCCGCGTCGCGTTCGCCAGACGGGACGCCGGCGCCCGTGAGGCAGAGGCCAGTCGTCGGCGAAGGGCGGGGGGCAGGGTTCGCCGCGTCAGTGCGGGCTCTCGCCGCGCGGGTCAGGGACAGGGTGGCGCCACCACACGCCCTGCATGCACCCGCCGCCCCCGGCCGGGGGAGGGGCACAGCCATGGGGCGAACCCCCTCGGCCCAGGCTTCGCAGCCCAGCCAGCCGCTGACGCCTGTCCTGTTCCCGGACAGCATCAGGGCAGCGCACCTGGCGGGACCGGCGGGGCACGTGTCGTTGGGCAGGGGTGGGGACGACCCGTGCGACGACGGGGACGTCCCCCGCCACCCGGGCCCACGCTCTCAAGGCCGCCCGGCCCAAGCAGCGGCCAGCGCCACGGACGTCCCCGCGGCAGAGTTCGTCTCCTCCGGGCGAGGAGGGGACGACCTCTGTGTCGACGGGGACATTGAGCCCAACCCCGGACCTCCGGGAGACGCTCCCGCGGCCCCGGCCGGGGCGGGCCCCGCCGGACCGCCGCAGCCGCAGCCGCAGCCGCAGCCACCGATCCCGGCGCAGCCAGTCGGGTCACAAGGCGCGGCGGCCGCCTGCATTTGCCGGAACGCAGCAGGGGCAGGCGAACGAAGGGGCAGGCACTGCAACTGGTGTCCGCGATCCCGGGCCTACCGAGCCCGCGTGGCAGCAGGACAGGATCCGGCACCCAGGCCTCCGCCCCCCCAAGCCCCAGAGGTGGGCGCGGCCCAAGGCAGGGTGTTCCAAGGGGCGGCGCTCCCGTTCACCTTTGCCCAGGTGGCCGCAGCCAATGTGCCCACGCTGAACAGGGTGCCCACGACGGCGAAGCCGCAGGTAGCGGCCCTGTTCGAGACCGTGCTGCGAGCGGCATCAGACGACGCGGGGTGGCTGCGGGTATACGCCTTCGCCCCGCTCGTCCTGGCCGCCACCACGCGGGGGGGCCGAAGGGCAGTGACGGAAGCCCTCCGCCGGCGGGTTCGACTCTGGAGGGACGGCCTGTTCGAGACCCTCTGGTCTGAGGCCCAGGCCATCACGGCTGGGAAGGCACAAGGCCGCGCGCGCCGGCGCGCCTACCCAGTCGAGGACGACCTGGACTACAGGGTCGAGCTCCAGACGGCGGTCAGGTCAGTTGACGACCTGGACGGTCCCACCGTGCGCCAGGTCATCAAGAGGGCGCGCGACAGGTGCTACTCGCGAGCCGTGTCTGCGCTGTCGGCAGCACAGACGGCCCCGTCGGACGAAGCCACCCTGGCACAGCTCAGAGACCTACACCCGGCCGCCGAGGAGTGGCAGGGCGACCCAGCGATGCAGATCCCCAACGTGGCGCGGCCCGCGCCGAGCGCCGTGCGGAGGCTGCTCAAGAAGATGCCGAAGGGCACGGCGGCCGGCCCCTCCGGGCTGTCAGCTCAGCACCTGCTAGACCTGTGGGACAGCTCCGGCTCCTTCAAGGAGGCCGTGGCGGATGCCGTTTGGGCGGTCTCGTCCGGGAGGGTACCGACGGCCGCCAGGCCATACCTCTACGGGGCCAAGCTGGTCCCACTGGTCAAAAGGACGGGCGGGATCAGGCCCATCGCCTGCGGCGAGATTCTGAGGAGGGTAGCC